TATTTATATAGGCTATCATGTCTGGAAAATGCCTGTAAGATTCCTATCCAATAGAAATAGAGAACTAAAATTCTTACTAACAAAAGGAAGCAAATACCAAACAAGATGAGCAAGAACCATTTTTTTTTCCTTCAAAAATGGTTCTTTACATATTTCCTCTTTCACGTATCTGGTAATGCTTATTTGGCTGGGCATTAAATATTGCAGTAGAAAAAAAAGATTCAGTGCTTCTGATTCTAAATGAGGAGAGGGGCTGCCTTTGTGTTTTTGATGGGTTATCATGGCATGAAAGGAAGGGGCTTTAGGGAAAATGTTTTATCTTTTTGGCTTCTGATGAAATTAGCAGTTTCCCTTTCCTTTAAACCTAGGTTGATAAGAATTATACTGAGACTGTTAGTAGCTTCAGTTATCATGCTGTGCTAAGATTGTTTCCAACTTATTAGATACTCTTTTTGTTTTTAAAAGTTAGGAATGAAATGATATGCTATTGCATTGTTAATTTTTGCTGACATTTGCTCTATAATTTAATAACTATTCTGTCCTTGAAACTTTTGAATTTTATTGAGGACTGCTAGATGTTTGAAAGAAATAACTAAAATATGTTAAGCATATATCACAGTAACTTAAAAAATAGCTACTCAGAGTCTTTAGATAATAGCAAACAAGTCTCAGCTTAAAACTAAAATCACTTCATGTAAATACACATTCCTTTCTGTATCCCTTTCAAAGAGAATCCCTTCTTCTCTCCTTATCGTGAAGAATAAGTATCACAGTGTAGCAACCAAGGGAAATGGAAAAAGATGAGGGGAGAAAGAGAAAGTAAATGATTAGAGAAAAACAGCGAAGAAGAATATGATTCTGAGACATTTCCTACCTTTTTCCTCTGTCTTTCAAACTACATTTGTTACTTTAGTTTTAGTTTTAGTCGAAGAGTGATGAAAAAGGAGTTATTATAAAGGTTAACTAGAGGGTTGGGGAGATAGCTCAATAGAAAGCACTGAGAAGTGCTTGCCTGGCAAGTGCAGGGTCTTGAGTTCAATCCCTGGTACTGAAAATAAATAAATAAATAAATAAATAAATAAATAAATAAATAAATAAATATTAAGTAGTAAAATAATTTTAACACTTTCTTTTTTTTCTTCTCATTTCTGTTTAAATAATATTCACTATGGTCTTATACCATTGTCCACTAAACTCTAAATAAATCTCTTCCAAATAATTCTTATACTTTGTACGTTTATGAGCTAAAAGAAGATTAGTGTTGCTCTATACACATTTCAAGAAAGTTTCTTGAAACTTTCTTTGAAAAAGATATTAAGTGAATGCCAACATTAAGCTATCAAAAATATTTAGGCTCTGTTTGCCCAACAGAAGCCTGAGCTGGTCTTGTTATTTGTGCATCTTGTGTTAATTAAATTCAATTACTTATATTTGATGATTCTATATTAACTACATTCTATTTTGACATTTTTTATTATTAAACAGCATATTTTTCACCAGTTGAGAACTACATGAAAAGCTAATCTTCTCATGTTTTTCCTGAGGCCATCTGTTTCTGCTGCCGCAGAGTTATCATTATTGAATCAGAACTATCATATTTCCTGAGGCTATATGAAGCTTGTCACTTGTCTCATCTTGCCTTACTATCTTCTTTCATAGTCTTAGCAGCTACTCTTGAAAGATAAAAACGAATTAAAAAAAGTCGATACAGATGCACCAAATATTCATTTGTACATCTCTCTGTCTGTTTGTTTGCTTACTTTGGGGTAAAATTTTGTTCATTCCTTATTTTGAACTTCACAGGGTCTTACCAATACAACGTGCCAGAATCTTTGCCAGTAGCCTCAGTAGTGGCCAGAATTAAAGCTGCTGATGCAGACATAGGAGAAAATGCTGAAATGGAGTACAAAATTGTCGATGGTGATGGATTGGGAATTTTCAAGATATCTGTTGACAAAGATACACAGGAAGGCATAATTACTATTCAGAAGGTAATGCTTTTTAAAATTTTTATTTCTCTTTCAATTAAGGTAACAGATGACCAAAAAATTATTCTGCTTTTGACATAGGAGAAATAATACAACTTTCTACCTTAGAGGTCAGATTTGTGTTCCTCAAAATAAAGAAGAGTGCTGAGGAGAAGCTCCATGGTATAATTATCTGCCTGGCAAGCTCAAGGACCCGGAGTTCCGTCCCTGGTGTCTCGTGCCATGCTGTTCTGGGAACCAAGCATGTTGGGCTGGCCCCAAAACCAGACATAGTGGTGGACGCCTGTAATCCCAGCACTAGGGAGACTGTGATAGGGGATCACTATGAGTCTGAACTGCATAGCAAGACCTTGTATCAAAATAAAGGAAGGAAGGAAGGAAGGAAAAAAGAAAGAAAGAAAGAAAGAAAGAAAGAAAGAAAGAAAGAAAGAAAGAAAGAAAGAAAGAAAGAAAGAACTTCTAAGGAACAATGGAGGTTAACAATATGAAAAATTTATTGAGAGAGATAGCTCCTGAGAGACAGGAGGGGACCTAAAAATGGGCTGCTAGCAAGCCCACTTCTCAAAGGAAGATTTATAAATCACAATCATAAGGTGGATACAAAATGGGAGAAAACCCTGATTAACTAATAAGGTCACAAATATAGCCATTTGGATAAAACTGGCCCAGTGCAGAAGTTGGCCACGTGGCAAGTATATATGGCAAGAACAAAAACCTATTTCAGAAGGAAAAAATCAGGAGGTCCTAGACACTCACCAGGAGTGACTGAGGTCTAGTTAGAGTGTATTGGACCAAAGGATACCAACTGAGTGTAATCTTTTATTTAGTTCATGTCCTTTGGGTAAGCATGTCATCTTGGTCATTCACTCTTGTCTTGAAGCCTGGCCTTCAATGAATGCATCTTCAGCCATAGTCGTGATGCATTTCCATCTCCTGCCCTGACTCCCTTGAGGACCCAGCCGTGTCTCGCTGCTTACACTTTCTCTACCTGACTTAGTTGTCTCTAATGCTTTGATGGAACAATGTGTTAGACACACTGAATGGCCATATAGGAATATTGATTTCGTAGTATTTTTAAAGAAAAAAAAAACATGTTCAATTATTATTAGATTTTACTCCAAGAGAGCCTTGAGCAACACTTTTAATAATGCCTTTAATTTTATTCCCTGAGTAAACCTGTGGTCCTTTTTTCCAGCACTGTAACAACCAGAAGCACTGTGAAATGTGTTGCATTGAAGGTCTACTTGGAAATAGTTTTGTTATTTAACTATTCTACTAAAGAAGTCCTCTATCTATTGTCAATGTAAAGCATTTGCATGCAAACTAGACATTTTCTGCAGTCTTAAAAATTTCTACAGAAAAGCATGAAAATTTCTTGAAGCTTATCATAATCTCTTAAATAAAAGTAAAAATACAAAAGAGATACACATTCAGTACCATTGAAAGTGAGAGTTATTTGTTATTTAAATTACTTCTAATACTAATTAGAAATGAGTTCTTTACTCAGTGTTTATACGTGGTGTTTGCCAAGTGTTCAAATAAAACAAGACAAAGGTATTACATGAAAATACATTCTTATTATGTTAAATGTTTGAAATATTACAATTATAAAAATCCATACCTTCTCCCAAACTGGGATGTTTTACTAGTTATACAAATCCAGGAGTATAAGACTTTAATTAACACTCCTCAGTAATTAACATATCAATAAAGAAAGTTATAATTTAGTTGTTATAGTAAGACATATGTTTGATTTCAGGCCAATGGGAACAACATTTCTGCAATTATTTCCAGTGGACAGCTGCTGTTTTAGCTCAGCTGGTGACAGACTTTGTACAAAAGTTTTAATAAGCAGAATAGGCCAACTGTTGGCAAAACATTTTGTTTTGTTGTGTAAAATTAAAGAAATGCAATAAAACACACTGCAGCTCAAAAGTTCAAAGATACATGTACAGTAAAATCAGTCTCATTTGATCACATTCAATCTAAATTAAAATAATTTTATTTAGTGTATGTGTATTATAATGAAGCTTTCATGAGAAACTGAAGAAAAATTTCCTTGGTATGAAATATTGGATTCAATA